GAGATTTGCCAAACCATCCAGTTAGTCTTCATCCTTAAAGTATTTTTTTCCCTGTATCACCAAAAGTACCGTAACCATCTCGTGACCATCACAGTGAAGGAGACAGTCTGCAACTGTATTTAGAAATAAATAAATAAATAAACAGGGCATCATTTTGGTATTTTTGATTAAATCCTTGGACTCATTAAACATAAGTTGTATAGACTTGAATGTAAATGCCAAAAGATATTGATATTAATGTCAATTGCGCAAAAATTATATCTGTCTGTGTTATTATTCAAATGTATAATAAATGTCATCATTCATTAACAGCAGAGATGCATTGTGGTTCGACATTACTGTCATATAACCATAAGGTCATGTGTTTTGTGGCTGCACACTGTAAATCAGCTAGTACTCTAAGAGCATCAAATAATTGAATAAAACATTTAATTCTGATCCGGTCACAGGTATTGACTTTGTTGCTAATAATAATTTCTGATGCATACAGTAATTTAGGAGATGTGGCCGCTCTCTGAGCAAAATAACACATACACCTACACACGCAAACACACACACAAAGGTTCAAAGCACAGGGGGTTGAGAGAAACTCTTGCAGTGATAAGCGACCACTGTTTATCCCCTTGATGAAGTTGATTAGCAGCGGTAAATTGCGATAAGAGCAGGGTCGATTTCACTTCTTAGCGATGTGTTCAGAATTACGTTGAGGCTGGTTTGAGCCGAGTCATCGAGCAGCGGACAAGATCTGACTCCGTGGTTTGAACACACTTCTTTTATGGTTACTGTTATCCATCTCATGGAGGAGCATTACAGCTTGTAATGTGATTAAATCAGAACACAGTCACCTCTGGGAATATTGCTATCTGTCAGCTTCACTGTGGGGAGTGCCAGTGATGTAGTAAATATGTCTCTTATAACTTCCTGGCTTTGCAGGAACCATCATAAAGTTTACATATAGAGCTTGGTTGGGAATCAGTGATAGAATTGAGAAGCTAATGTATTGGCTGTTTCTAAGGCTGTAATATTGCAACATGGCAGAGGTACACTTGTTCTCTCTGTGGGCTTTAAGGTTCTAATACTAAGATCTGCCCCGACAGGTCAGACACAATCTGTGCCACCATCATGTGCAATCGATTTTTATAGCATTGGCTTGGCAAGCTTTCCTCTTCTTTCTTTAAAATGATTTTCCTCATCCTATTTTTATTTTCAGTGAGAAACTCTGTTCAGGAAAAATAATGTCTGAATGTTGTTTAGCAGAGATGTGAAAAATCAAGGAAATCTTTTTCTTTACCAAGAATATAGTGCTTTTTAACTGTCGCTCACACACACAAACTCTACCCTGCAGTGTATTGTCTTTGGTTTGGTTTCTCTGGTCTGTGTCTGATACTTCACAAGTTCAGTTATATGGTTTGTTTTATAAACCTGACTAATTCAAACATTTCTTGTAACTTCCCTTGATTGAGGCTAGAACTCAAGACTGGGTATAAGAATTAAGTTAACATCATGTCAGTCCTGGCCTGCATTATATGTCTATCATTGTTATTTTTTAACAAAAATGTTAAAGTTCAGCCACTGGCTTTTCCCCGAGCTTTCAACCACATCTCACAGACTTGTAGATTGCTCAGTTGTCACAACGTGACATGAGTATGGGAGTAAAACTGCTCATTGATCATATATATATAAAATAAAGCTGAGCTCGGAGTTTTGAAATCCTGACAATGTTTTAGAAATGGTAGACAAATTTTAGCTTTCAGCTTTCTGCTGAACAATATTACTGAAACTGGCTTTTTAGCAGAGATAGTGTTACATAGCGATCTCTCTCACAAACAGCCTGCTTCTCTGTGAGGAGAGACTGTTTCTCTTTCCCTCTCTCTTTTTTATCTGAAACTTCTACATATCAATTCGTTTCCTGTGCAGTTTTGGTTGTATAAACTTTCCAGTCCTCTGTCCTTCCCCCTGAAGAGGTCCCTCAGCCCTGCAGGTTAACCTTCTTCACTGTAGCTTATTGTAATGTTCAAAAGTTCTTGTTCCTCCTCCTGCAGTTAGTTGATTTGGGGGTCCAGGTTCACGCAAATATCAGTGCTTGTGGATCAGAAGCTGTTGGTGGTAGATAACATTAGCTCTGTGGTCTTTATCTAAGCCTCACTGACGCTGTCTTTATCTACAGTTTAATACTGCAACATTATGTTCTGCAATCAAACACCTGCATCGTAGGTGTCTGGTTAATTCAAATTAATCCACACCTTCCAGCCAATTTAGAATGAAGAATTCTCGATGGCCATGATGTGAAAACTTGATTAATTTGACATGACATGGTCACAAACATCACCACAACCGTCTCCCAGAGATTCTGTTTATATACAACTCATTTGAAACAGCAAATGTGTTTTGAAGGAAGCATAATGCCGCTCAGATTACGTTCCCTATTATCATAATGAGGAAATTCTGTTAATTAACCAACCCAACAACCTCCCTGCGACTCTAGTGTGGTAGATAAATGTTAATTCAAAAAGATGTTGCCTGCGAACATGATCCAGGCAGTAACAACATAATTGTGAAAAACAATTATGAGAAAAAAATTCTAAGATAGGTAGAAAACTATTGCTCAGGCTTATGAAGTCACCAGCTTGTTTTGTATGAATCGCTACAGACTTTTTAAAGAAAAGACTGAGCAGATCTTTTTTCACCCACCAGTGTCATTTCTGGAAGTTTTTTTTTAGAAGCCAGCTTGAATCCAGCAGTGTTAGTCATCCCATTTGTCTTTTGCTACAAAGTGGTTTCTGATGACCATGTGGGCCTCTTCAACCCAGCGGCTCGGCCAGCCATTTGCTTGTTTTTCAAGAATCCTTTGCATAAAAGTCATTTGATGAGATATTCCGAGCAATGTGTACAGATGAGTAAGTTGCGGTGGAAGTGCAATCTGCTGTACACACTGACAGCAGCAGAGTGCATGGAAAGGCTGTTTTTTTGTTAATGTTGAGACTAATGGAATTGTGACTCAACAAAACACGGACTCCTATCTATTGAAAAAAAAAAACATTTGTACTTTTTTTCTGCTCTTTGTGTTGTTAAATGAAATCAAGCTATACCAGAGATAAGGCGTGTGACATTTTAAGGTCTTAACTCAGTCAGTTTTTGATCCGGCTTTATCTGATTCGCTCCTAATCGTTTGGATGTCGACAGTGGCCGTTGTTGTTGTTGGCCACTGCGATAAAAATGCCAATCAGCTTACCATGGCATTTAAACAAACAGCGCCAGAGAATGACCTCAGAGATGGACCGGTTCCAACAAAGGGACCGACGTTACCGGATGTCCATTAACTGTAAAATTGTGCGATTACAGTAAAAGCGCCCTCTCTCTGTCCTCATGCATTGCTATCCTCCAGCAGACCTCATTAGCAGGAGACTGCAGGTGTTCCACTCCAGTTGAGTGACGACCGATTTCATTAGCTCCCTCAAGTGCCAATCTGCCCTCTAATACGACTGCCACAGACAGACTGACTGCTCACATGACTCGTGCGGTCCCATCGGTTCACTTCATGGCGCCCTTGAGTTAAATAACCGGGACACGAATGCTTTAGAGAAATTTTTGTGGTAAGCATTGAGGTGATTAAGATTCTGGCAGGGTAGCGCCAGAGTTCACCTTGGGCATTAAACAGTTGTTGGCTCTGCTCAGACCGGGGACACTGGGACAACTCCTGCTACAGATGATCCAGATAGACGAGAGTTGAGGATAAGTGGAAGCAGGGAGTGAAGAAGGAAACAGGAGGAAGAAACATGCCCGGCGCTGTGTTCCCCTCCTTCTGTTTCCGTCTGGTACGAAACGCAGGCAGACACAGACCCCGAAGCTGTGACTTTGAAGTTGTGTCTTTGATTAAGGAGTTAATTAAGGAAAAACGGCACACTAGCAAGTAGATAACTGAGAAAAGAAAAGGAAGGGGCAGAGAGGGAAAAAAAGGAGCAGATATAGAGAGTGAGGAGTGATATTGGCAGCTCATCAGTTTCTAGAGTGCCAGAGTGTCGTTCTGATTGGCAGAAGAGCCAGCTGACACACCGGGGATGGATATGAAAGCTGTAGAAGGAATTAAAACCCAAAAACCTGCCACCCACATGTGTGAATGGCACAGTTTCTGCCCTGCTGCAAGCTGTGGTGTTAACGCCATAAAGCATTAATGATAATGGATGATAGTAGGACAGCAGGAAGAAGGAAGAACAAAGAAGTAGGATGATAATTTATACTTTTGGGATGAGAAGACTGATGGTTAGTTCAGTGCATGTGGGTGTAATTTATGTTGTTCTTCTTTTTCTGTCCGCCCTGATTGGTTTCCTGCCTTTGTCTGCTCTCTTACCCTCCTCCTGCTCCTCCATCACCTCTGGGTCTTGGCGGTTATCTCCCCTCTTTCCTTCCTATCCATCACTTCTTCCTCCTACTCTTGCTGCTTTCTCCTCCTCCCTCCTCATCCGCGGTTATCCTTACAGTTTTCACCTCCTGCCATGCTGAACATGCGCTGCCAGTCCTCCTCCTCCTCAAACTTCTCTCTCTATCTTCTACATCAAACTCTTTTCCGTCTTCCTCGTCTCTTACCCCATTCTTCCTCACAACCTACCCAATCACCTTCTTCACCCTTTGACTCTATAATCCCTCTTCCTCATCCCTCCTAACGTCTTCCTTGTGTTGTTCTCCTCATTCTTTTCAAAATTTTCACTCCTCCGTTCCACCCTTCTTCTTCTCCATCACTTCCCCATCCTTCTCTAAATCATCATCCTCCCCACCTCTCCATTTTTCTAAGAAATCCTATATCACAGCTGCTGCCATTCCTCTCCCTGACCTGCTCTTCACCTCTTCGATTTTCCTCATCATCATCTTTTTCCTCTCTCTCCATCACCCAAGAAATGAAAAATAAAATCAATTATTATAAAAATACAACTTATAAATTTCAAACAATAAAAATAAAATATAAATCTCTTCTCCATCTCTTGTCTTCTCTTTTCCTCCACCAGCCTGGGTTTTATAAAGGCGTGGCGGGCTCTCAGGTGACCCTGTCCAGCCTGGTGAACCAGTCGCGGGCCATGCTGGAGGAGCAGGCACGCCACTTGCTGACAGAGGCGGAGCGGCAGACCATGGGCTACTACGTGGAGGAGTACCGGGACGGGCACATCGGCGTAGAGCAGCTAGTCGTGGCGCTGTTCGAGCTGCTTAACACACACGCAAAGGTGAAGGCCGAGGAGGCTTGTTTGAGAAACGAAAGAAAAAGATGAAACGTGAATCAATTTCCTTTATGCAGGACTCCTGTACAGTCTGTGTGTGCGATTGCTGCAAGCTTCGAACTGAAGTCTTCTAAGCTTTTCTGAGATTTATGCTCAGGCTTTTTGCCAATGCTTACAGTTCTGTTTTGTTTTTCCTTCCTCCTTGGCTCTTAAAAGTCTCTTGATTTTCACAGTCTGAAGTAGTTCACCTTATAAAAAATACAATAAATCAAAGGCATTTTATTTCCAATTTCTCAAGTACACTGCATGTATCATACACCCACAGAAAGCTTTTCCAGCTGCCTTGTACTGTATTTAGAGCTACTGTACTGTCTTACTGATGGGTTGTTTTTGGTGCGGTTTTTTGATTTGTACAAAAGTACAAGAAGATTAGAGTGCTGCAGGGATATAAGTATTTTTGTAGGCCAACCTGGAAGTTAGCATCGCTCTGGCTCCTTTGACAAAAAGCCAATGGGTTTTTTTCCATTGGATTTCAGATTTGCAGACAGTAAGCTCTGTGGTAAACAAAGGTTAATGATAATTACACGTTTTTTTTTCATAAAGATGATAGTTTGCAAGAGCGCAAGTATAAACACAACGAGGCTGTAAAGTCAGACTAGCGAGTAGATAAGTCTCCGTGTTCGGCTTGCTGACGTTTAATGTCACCGACAGCCACTGTAGTCTCATTTAGCCACTTGTTAGCAACCGGCTTTTTTAAGTCACATAAATTACTGACATAGTTTATGTTGTAGAACAAAACGTGAAAATCTCTTAAGCTTGTGTTAACTACGGACCTTATTCCAGGCTTCTGACCAAAAACCCATTCAAAAGAAAATAATAACTCAGAGTTTTAGGACTCATTCCTGCAGCACTCACACACACACACAAACACACACACACACACTGCAGAGTCGGGTTTGATCATTGTTTTAATTCAGTGGGAAATTCCCCTACCAGGATGCACTGATACCACTTTTTTTCAATCCATATACATTTGGGTACTTGCCAATATCAATATGAGTACTTAAAACCATTACAGTTGACTGACTTTAAAAACAGGTTTTATTTTCATCAGATTTTTTCTCTTTCTAACTCTAACAAATGAAATGTTACTTAAAATATCTACAAACTGCTGACATTGCTGCTCCTCCACCTATCTGCTCAACTAACTAACTAACTAGCTAATTAACTAGGAGGTTACGTAACGTCATGGTGCTGTAAAGTGGAACTGGGCGCGGTATCAGAGTAGTTTTATTAGAATTAGACCTGATACGCCATACTGATATCAGTGCCAATTTTACAGACTGAATGAGATCCAGGTTTACGACAAAAGGTCATAAATGGGACCATCACTGTTACTTCCCCAAGCAGTCGCGATGCATTGAAGAAAAAACTTTATTTTAAACTGTCGTGTGCACCAAAAGGTTTGAAAGTGAGCATTAACTGGTTATGAAATATAATCAGTTATGGTCGAGCTGTTGGGCTGTTTCTGTGTTGTTTTTAGAGGAAGAAGAAAAAAAAGCAAAATTCATTCAATTTATGAGAAAACTCAGTAGGGGTAAGTTTTCCTTTTATTTTCCTCCAGGCAGTGCTTTCATTTTTCATTTTTTTTCACAAATCCAGACGTTATTGAAGCTCAACCATCTCAGCAACTCTCAGTTCAATCTTGATTAGAGTTGATTTCCAGGTTTGGAGAGTTTTAACTGTTCAGTTTAAAAAATAAGGTTTATTTTGGTTGATCTAACCCACCAAAGTTTGTTACATGATACCTTTGCCTCCCTTCTTGTTTCTCCCCCTCTCTACCTACCTCCCCTCAGTTCTCTCTGCTGTCAGAGGTGCGAGGTCTGGTCACCCCACAGGACCTGGAGCATTTTGACGGGTTGGTGCTGCGACGTGAAATTCAGGCTCTAAAGGCGCGACAGGGGACAGTCGGAGCCACGGCTCTCCAACCAGACTCCCTGTCCATGGTGTCATACCCAGACACCCTGACATCGTCCTCAGCCAGCTTTATGACCAACACCACCCTCAGCTCTGCTCGGGTAGGCTGGGTTTGTTGGCTGGATGATTATCTGCCCATTCTTGATTTAATGTGTATGTATGGGTTAGATAAGATGGACAAAAATACGTTTTTCTATTTTTTTCTTTAGGAATGATTGGGTGTGTGGAAACTTGAAATTAGAGTTGGATATTTTGGGGTGAAAATGATGAATGAACTTTTCTGGGGTTTTTTTCTGGTCTGTCTCACTGTCTGTCTGTTTGGATTGTGATTGGTTCCTTCTCTGTTTGGCTGTCTGCTCACCCTTCCTTTCTGTTGGATGTGTGTGTGTGTGTGTGTGTGTGTGTGTCTGTGTCTGTGTCTGTGTCTGTGTGTGCATGTGTGCATGTGTGTGTGATATATTTCCATGGATTATAACAGACTCTGCAGAAGAAAAGATGCTGCTCTGGTGTGGACTGAATAATGACACGTTTCAGTGCCTTCCTGTTGAGACTGAAAAGTCTTTCTGCTGATATTTGATAGGTTGTGTTTTTCTTCCACCTCAATAACCCCACCCTTACTTCCACCTCACTCCAAAAACCTCCCCTCATCTCCTCCTCTGTAGGAAAGGCTGCTCTGGCTGATAGATATGATGGAGGTAGGACTCGCTGCTGAAAGTAATGAATGCTTTCCAACACACACACACACAGAATACACACTAGACTAGGAGATGTAAAGCTCCCTGAGGGCAGATGTATACCAGACACACGTGCATACTCTGACTCACACTCTCACTTTGGTTTGTGGCTTTGCAGTTTTTTGTTTGCAGTGTTTTTCTTCTTTCTTGTTTTTTCTGTCTCCATTTTGATTTGGACAAGAAGTACAGTGCTTTCAAAGAAAGTGATGTGTCTCTACAATCCTAATGATTAACAGTGCTCACAGTGTGACTGACTGTTCAGGAAGTCTCTGGCTGTTTTTATCAGGATGACATCACTGTTACAGAGAGGAAAGATCACACAAATAACAGCTGTGTTTCATCCTAGAGAGTTTGATTTAGCAAATATGTTACCATTAAATATGTTTTCATAAAATTAGTGTGCATGCCTGGTTTGTAAATAACATCAGGTAATGCATATATTTAGCCAAGAAAATAATTCAAACAGTATCAGTATATGATAGTCATGACAACATCTACATAAAATCTAGTGATTAAAGCACACTTTACACACAGTCTGGTTTTCTAAGTAGTTAGCCTCAGCTGCTTACAGGTAATATTAGTAGATTGTCTATTTATTTATGAAGTCATGATGTTATGCCTATGTATTACTAAGGCATAATGTATTACATAGTCATAACACTGTAACGTAACCTTAACTCAAGAGTACCTTAACTCAAATTGAATTAAGGTACCTGCCTTTTGTTTTGTTGTGAAGTGAAGTTTACTGTTTACCGCACTAAAGGCAGAGTACCTTAACAGAGTACCTTAACTCAGTTTGAGTGTTCTGAAGTGCAATGAAACACGACAAAGAACCTTAGTTGATCTTGGTTTATTAATCATATCTTTAGTTTGCTGGAAAACTTTTTGTTCAGGTTACACATGTGGCACAGTTTCACCCATCAGTATGTGTTGGTATATGGTGAATGATATCGCATCCAAATGTTATGGTTGTGGATGAAGACAACTGATTGCACCTGATATCACACACGACACACACACACACACACACACACAATGTCAAAGCTGACAGCGGAGATAAGCTGTTGACTGTCTGCAAATTTTTCCACCAAACAGTCCTCATTCAGAGGCCTTTCTGCTTTCTCCTCCGAGAAGCAACATTTACATGTGTGAGAGAGTGTGTAGGTGTGTGTGTGTGTGTGTGTGTGATAGTCTGTATTCTTTTCTGTGTGTCTATTTGTGCTGTTTTGGACCCATGGGTGACTGCTACCACTGCTGTGTTAAGCAGATTAGAGAGCTGGGTGGGTTTGGGAGGATAGCAACACTGAATTTCTGAACCACACTCAAAGCCAGGTATATAGTCAACTGCATACCAATGCATGTGCACACACACAAACTCTGTACACAAACACACGCAACACAAACATATTAGGCAGATAGACACACACACACACAATTGAAGCTTGAATATTTACTGGCCAGACACAACGTTGCTGTTGGATGATTCTGCAAAACCTCAGATTACATTCAATGACAATGGGTTTTTATCAGATTATTTGTACCAATATCTGTGGCTGTCAACTACAGTATGGTTGGAATATGGATACGTTTAGGCAACTTAAACTACTTAACTACTACTTAAGCCTAAACAAACAGCCAACATTAATTGTACATCCGTAACTGACCAGATCAGATCAAATACAAGCATGTTACAGATAGAATACTTCCACTGTTGTTGCAGTTTAACATCTGCAATTCCATAAAGACATTTGATGCAGCTCATAGAGAATGAATCAGTCGACAGACACGTCATAGTACATGTAGAACCAGTAGCTTGCAGTCTATAAACAGGGACAGACCTACAGGATTGGTAATGTTAGTGGCATCCAAAGTGTCACAGAGCATGTCGTAGACATTGTCAGACTAGGTAAGAGAAGGGGCAAGAGTTGTGACATGTTTGTCTTTGCGTTGTGGGCTGTCACAGATGCAGAATGGGTTGTTTTCCAAAATAACAAACTGCACAGGGTAGATTTTCATTCATGATGCACCACATCTGTCATATATGGGAATTACTGAGCTGATATTGTCTGGTCTGATCCCTCCAGTCAAACATGTTACAGGCCACCTACATACTGTGTTTTTTTTACTACACTACATAAAGATAACACTACTTCCTGCATTTGCACTGAGTGTTGGCATTGTATGTAAATCATGTTCTGCAGAATTGCCTAATATGATTCCTGGGACTGAGATATACACACACAACACACACTGTGTGGATGGTAATTGCGGATGAACATACACAGACACAGCGTGCTCTGAGTGCTTACAGTGCAGAGCAGCGTCTCTGCGTGTAGAATGTCGATTGACTCTTGTGATAAATAAATTGTCTGTAAGTGCTCCCCGTGCGGCAACGAGGGGTAATTAAGCTGAATTGATGAGGCTTTTGTTTTGGTTTAGTGGCAGAGTTAAATGAAGGGCAACGTTTCTCTGAACTCAGCTCCTCTGCTCTGAAATCGCTCAGAGATCTGCTGCAAATTACCTCCTCTCCACCACGCCGGTGGGATTGAGCTCCCAAATCCTGCTTTGAACTGAGCTGATGGTTCTTGATCGATTTCACAGCATGTGTGTTTAGCTTGTGGAAGAAGACATGATAGCTGTGTGTGAGAGTGTGTGCGAGTGTGCATGCCTTTAAGACTTTAAGACTGGCCGGCAAATGTGAACAGATATTGATGTCTTTCCTTTTTTCTAGGAGACGTGGAACATGCACCAAATCTATTTTGACATTAGTTTTGGGACAAACACACATCTGTGCTTAACATCTGTTCACAAGCTTTCTCTGTCTCACTTTAATCACTCTCTTCTTCCTCCTTCCTCTCTGTTTTCTTGTTTTTCCTGTCTTTAATCATCCTCCCCTATTTCTCCGTCCACCTCGCGTCCCTCTCACTTCCATTTCTTTCCTGCGTCTCTCAGAACGACAGCGTGGTGGAGAGTAATGAGGATGTTCCCGCGGAGAGTCTGAACACGCTGCTGACCGACATCTCTCTGGTGAGCCTGGCAGGCAGGCAGGCACAGCCCCTGCTTTGGCCTGATAAAGATGGATGCGACACAGGGAAGAAGTGAGGAGGGGTGAAAAAATAAAATGGTTAAAAAAAAAGAGCAGGAGAGGAGGAGGGAAGAGGTAGAAACGGATGGAGATGCTTGAGACGTGGCTGACCTGCAGGCTTGGTATTGTAGACTGAGTTGGAGTGGAACAAGTGTTGTGCACCAAATCAGAACGAGGAGTAGAGCTTTGTGAAAGTAAGTGCCGGTGCAGCCTTTCTCCATCTTTTCTTTGTTGTGTGGAAAGAAGAGAGTAGAAGCTGATTACAGTATGCCACCTGGCCTGTCCAAGTCTCCTGCCTTGCACCTCAGGGTTAAAAGAAATATATTGCCGTTTCCAAAGCAACAAGAGATATCAAGAGGTCTTATTATTTTTATTCTGAACAGCAGGGGACAAGCGGGAGGTGAAGGAGAAAGGCTTTTAGTCAGCCGTCGTCCAAGGCTACATGCCATTCAAATCATACCATACTTTTCTTTTGTAAACGTTCTTTTATGCTCATTTAATGTTTCTTTCCATACACTGATGAGCCACTCATGTCTCAGTGTTGTTCATTCCACTGTTCAGTTTATGTTTGAGCGCTTTTACTTTGAAACACAGGTGACCGGTGGAATCAGACCGACGAGCAGCGACGTGTTCAACCCTTGCATTACACTTCAAGTGGCTGTTATAGCCACTAAGACTGGTGGAGTGGTTAAACAGGTGTCTAATACAATTGTGTGAGTGAAAAGTGTTGGGAATCACGAGGAAAGAATACAAACAATTGGTTTAAACGTTGGTTTCCTCAGCATGTTACAAATTAGGCAGCTAATTTTTCAGTATGATACAGGGTTCGAAGTTGGTAAAACTGACTGTAAAAATCCTTTTTTATTTCTATAGGGTTGTTGCATTCAAATTACCAAAAACAGATTTCCTCATTTACCTCTAATAGCATTTAGTTTGTGGGGCTCACAGAATTAATAAATAAGAATATCTATAGAATAGAATATATACTCAATATTAATTTGTCGTTCCAAAAATAGGTGACCCTGTTGTTTCCTCAGGACATTTTTACAAAGTAGTTGCAATCTGTAACAGTTGACAGTGTTAATGGATGAAATAATATTTCGCCCTCTGGCAATTAATTTATGCATTTTCAGAGTCAGAGCTGATCAGATTTATTGGATTTCTCAGCTTCATAATGCCTACAGTGTAGCCACATTTTGTATGGGGATATATTGTGCCATTATACATTGTTCCACCCCTAATCAATGTTAAATATATATCCTCTCACTCCAGGACGACGTACAGTCCACCACAGCTGAATCTCCCCCCTCCTTCAAACCTCCGCCCCCACCAGGGGTGCAGAGGCGCCCAAGTAGACGAGATCAGGTCAACAAATGCCCTTCATCCGAATCCTCCCACTCAGGCCTCTACTTCACAGCCCCGAGCTCCCACAACCACAGCAAAAAGCCAGGACATGCCCCCGCCTCGCCCTCACTGCACCACAAACATCCCAGGGACCCGTCTCAGGACTACGCTGTCGTCAGAAAGAGAGATCCCTCGGTAACCTCCAAGAAAGAAAAAATAACAGCTGCTCAGTTGTCTATGGTCACCCAGCACAACATCGGCCCTTTCCCCAGGGTGCAGTCTCCCAGCAGAGGCCCCAAACCTGCCGCCCCATCCCCGTCACCTCCACCTCCACCTCCGCTCCCTGCTCCTCGTCCGCCACCTTCTCTCCCTCTTAAGCCAGTGTCCATGTCCAAAGCTTCCCCCGCCTCCTCTCCTGGCTCTAAACAACAGTTTGTTACAGTGGAGGTTCATAGGCCCAACGCAGAGCCCGACGTTAACGAGGTGCGGCCGCTGCCCCAAGCTCGAGGTGAGGAACGTAGAGCTCAGGAAATAAAATGTACGGACCCAACGGGTGTCACATTTGTCATTTGTGTCCTCAAATGAATAACATACACAACTAACTAAGCACAACTAATTATTGTTTTAAAGTACTGATCAATTTGTTAAATAAATATCAATATTAGTAGTTTAATGTATACAATGTGAGAAAAAAAATTTAGTGTCTATAAAATATGAATTAATTTTTTTCTAAACACCTGCCTTTTTTACATGATTATCCTCAATCTGCAGTTTAGTTTATTGTAACACTGATAACTCCAATAAATAATGCATACTTATTTTGTATCACTGCATTGACTTTAAACATAAAAGCTTTCTCACTAACTAACTTTTAAGTATCTGTAGTGATTATGAAACATTCAGATTAGATACCACAGTTTGGATTTATTTACTGATATTGGCCATATTTTGAGGCTTTCTAATTGTCATTGTCTGCAATTAAATGAGGAAATATGCTGAAGAAAATGTGTATAAATATCATATGCATTGATTTGGGCTTAATGTGCTTAAATGAGCAATTACCCAGAACACTGTGTATGATTGCCACTGTAGGCAAAACGTCACTGATCATAATAAGCTTTTAATCTTCTATTGAATCTCAAAATCTGACCCTTTTCAGAACAAATCTAAAAATCTGGATTGTTTTTTGTTTGTTTGCGTTTGTGCAGTTTACCATGACAACACCGCATTTCAATATTCCATTAAACTCAAAAGTTGAAGTAAAAGAGTAAAACCAATAAAAAATGGCTTTTATATAATAAGACTGAGATGTCATGTGTGGCTGTTTACTCTCAGGTGGCGCCCTGTCTCAGCTGTCAGACAGTGGCCAGACCCTCAGTGAGGACAGCGGGGTGGACATAGCTGAGTCAGGACACATCAGCAAAGACAGCAGCCCCCATTCCTCACGCACACGCCACCCCCGAGAGACCCAGGGGGGCGGGGGGGACAACCCCTCAAAACCGGTGAGGGGGTGATTCAGAACAGCTGTGAGCCAAACATGGATGGATTCATTGTTAAATTCTGAGGAATCTATTAAATTAATTTAGGTGTGTGTGACGTGTATTTCTGTCTTTGTGAGGACCAGTTTGAGTGAGATTTTTAAGAAAGACATTTTTGGAAGTTAGAAGGAACATTTTAATTGAAGATATTTTCAGGAAGTGGGGACATTTTTGGAAATTAAGTTAAAGAAATTTGTTTTCAGGTTCATGTAAGCCCAGTTCAGACCAAAGATTCATGACAAGACGAAATAGAACGTAGCAACAGGAAAGCAGCTGCTGGCTGAAGGCGTTACCTCCAACTCAGCTTGTACAATCTCCATTGGCTGGTTTTAGAACATAAGGCACATCACCTATTTCAACAACCAATCAGCTCATAGTCAGCTGGTCAAGTCAGTTATAAACTGCCGAGTTTTGGACTGAGGAAAGAGAAGATCACCTCATCAATTTGTTTAAGGAACAGCCATGTCTGTATGACATGAGCCTTAAAATGTGCTCAAATAAAGAGAAACCATGGACGGCTCCAAATTCTTGACCCTTGTTTTGGCTATTTCATCGATAAAATGCAACTATAGCAAGTAATTCACCATCACTATTACTCAGCTACAAAAAAAGCCAAAGAAACCGGCAGTTAGAAGTACAAAGAGTTGTTGCCATGGAGATGATACACTATCTTGTCAAGTTGCCGTGGTGAACTGCAGATTTTTGCATGAGCAGATGTTGCAAACCGGAGCATTGCAAGTAGTTGCAAGATTCAACTCCTCTCGTCACAAATCTTTGGTCTGAACTGGGCTTCAGAGTTTAGGTGTATTTAGGTTTATGGACGTAAAGAATGCAGTATTATGTCACTGTTGGTCCTCACAAGTATGGAAGTACAAACATGTGTGTGTTTGTGTGTGTAAAAACATACCAAGTTAACAGGTTGATAAATCAATGTGCTTTATTGCTAATTCTCCTCCAGAATCTGTTCTTAAACCTAACCGTGATCTCTTCTCTCCCCCCTCTGTTTGCTCACACAGACTGTTTCCTTTGTTTTCTTCATTTGTTTATTTCTCACTCATGTCATTCATTCAGTCACATGCTCCATCATTTATTTCATCACTCACTGCGGTGTAGCATAATGAATCTCTAAAAACGCTCTCTGTTTCTTATTGATTAATGGAATGAATAACAAGTAAGGACGGGAGTAGCCTGGTCGTTTATGATGAGAGAGATGTTAGATTCAATGTCTGTTTCAGATTGGAGTCATTAGGCCGAAAATGCAAAAGCTGAATCAAATTTGTATCATAAAAAGCTGCATTTTATTGCTGAGGACTTGGAGCAAGGCATTTTCCTTCTGTTTGTTACTGAGTATCAACCAAGAGTGTGCTGACAAATAATATAAAAAGCTTCCTAAATGAACTTATAGAAGACATTTGTTAAAGATATAGTCTACTGTGGGCAGTATGTAAATGTGCCAAGGTCCAGAGTCATGTTTTAGAGACGGCTGAAGTGAAGGTGAGCCATCCAGCATGTGAGCTATATGAAGAAGTTCAACCCCCTGTGCTACCGAGCCTCTGTTCCACTAGCTTCTGTAGCCTGTGGTTGAGTTAGTTTTCTCATAAGGAGCTTTCATCTATTGGCCTTTTCTGAAAAGCTTAAACAACAATGAAGGTCCCTGGCCAAAATTGAAGTGGAGATGCTGCAGTTATCTGGTATGCTTCTTAACCACTTCGCCATCATTGTTTTTTTATCTTAGAATAGGGACATGGATCACCAGGAACATTCAGAGTAACATACAATAAAAACCGTCAAGAAACTTTACGAGAGCTGACATAACAGTGACTTAACAATAGAAAACCATTGTGTAGATGACTTGTTAAAAGCTGGTAAAATAATTTCAAGATTGGTTATGTCTTCTGTCCTCCGTCTTGTGAAGCTCTTAAACATGATTACTGATGTTGTGAATATGTCACCAGGTTTAATATGTACATGTTAATGATGAGTCGTGGCCTTTATGAATGTGTAAACCCATTGGGAAGACTCTTGAGCATGTGTGCTCTGAGAAAACAAAGCTCTTCTTTGGATAAACAGGCAGAGAAATATATGTAGTCAAAGAGGTACAAAGGGGAAGCAGACGCAGGGAGGTTGTGTAATGTTATATATATACATATATTTACAGCTTTATATATATGTATAAGTAATGTTCTTGTGTATTGTACCTTGTGCCCCTCTCTCTACCCCTTACTTTAGCCAGGGCTGTTGGAGCCCACCTCTACACTAGTGAGGGTGGCAAAGAGTGCCAGTACCCTGGGTATTGCCATTGAAGGTGGAGCCAACACTCGCCAGCCGCTGCCACGAATTGTCACAATACAGGTGAGTCAGAAAGAAAATAAAATAAAATTTAAAATAACTAGGCTCACCTCTACCTAACCCCTATCGTTATTAAAATGCTATCGTCTTCATTTTGGTGAATATTCTCCTTGTATTTGCTGTGATTATTATATCCTGGGTGCTTTCTTTGATTCTCTGCGATGGCACCACGCACCCAGCTTCCAGGTGGGATTTGATGTCCTTTAGGGCTTTATATGGATTTACACTGCAGCTGAACTCACTCTGAGATTCCTGCTAATTTGGTCCTCGTCAGGGCTCTTACAAAGATGCTTACAACATTAGTGGCCTTCATGAAAATGGAGATTGGAGACTGCAATACTTTTTAGTAAGTAGGTATAATGTCAGTAGTTGGTTTAATGCTGATGTTTAGGAATAAAGGCAGAATCAGCAACACCTTTGAAAGATTATATACATCATGTTGTAAAAAAAAAAAAAGCTAAGGTTCAGTTCAGATATGTTAATGTTTAGTATAGTGACAAGACTGAATAGAGTTGCACATCACATCTCAATCATTTGTCTGTACTGAGTAAGACAAGGTTGAAACCTATTATATGACTTTACCATGTATGGTCTGTGTGCTATTGTTAAGACCTCAGTTGTGGGGTCCAGGGGAAATGAGGAGTAACAATTAATAATTTACCCGGTGTCTAAAGAAGGGCAGGAAACGGAAAGATTTGTACTTTGTAACTATTTATTTCAACGTAAATGAGGTCAAATGTAAACCCAAAACAATTTCCTAAAAAGGAAGAAAAGTGCTATATTGTGGTCAAATTGTTACACAGATACTTAGTGGTAGTGTCTATAATGTGCATTCCTGGATATTAAATGTTTATCTTCAATTTTCTCTAGTGGTCCCAGTAATACTTGTTCTTAAATGGTACTGAAGTAACGTGTCACATGACATGGTTAAGCTACATTTGGGTTAACAAATGTTAGAAATGTAGTTGAAAGAATAATACTTTCCACTCATATCTTAAGATGTTTGATTTAAAAGAGAACGTATAATGAAGCAGAAGTCTTTAGTTTTCATATAGTATCCAGCAGAATATTCCAATCTTAGCGTGTGATGAATTTGTAATGAGTGATGAATGATTAACCTGTTGTTTATTACCCCTTATTAACCTGTAACATACATTTCAGTTAGATATTACCTAGATATAACCATCATCAATACCAAGCTATTACCTGGTTATTTCTTTGGTAATTACATGATATTACTTAATTATTAAACAAACTATTACCCCACTATTACCATGTTATTATTGAGCTGTAATTTAAAGTGCTACAGAAGATTGTTCATTCCTATTCATTCTGAAAGAGCAACGACCAATGGGGAAACTCCAGTAAGTCAGAAACAGACTTTAGCGTTTATAGGGTTGGCTCGTTTTGCTGCCATCCAGCCAAAAATACTGGAAATCCAGCTCTCCTGGCTATGCAGAGCGAAATCCAAATATTGACAGCTTAGCTGGAAATGACAGGTTAGCCACCTCTGTAGAAAGCTATTACTGTGACTTGGTGTGCATATACCTGTCTGCCATGGTAATTTGCAAGTCAACAAAGCCTTGTATTAGCTCAGGACTATCTCTAGCACTAATCATTTCCAAACCACAGAGAAAAGGGAGTTACATTTTAAAGATCAGAGCAGTGAGCAGCTAGTGACTACAGTCCACACCACATTCAAAGCTGTCTGTCAGCCTCCCACTCCACAGAGGTGTTGATTGAAATAAAAAAAGGGTTGCTGATTGCGAGGGGAGGCATAAAAGGATTGGAAATCAGCACATTCAGAATCAAAGAGTACACTGGAAGAAAGGACGGCAAGTGTGACCAAAGGATGCAAAAGAAGTGATAGTGATGTGAATAAGGAGAGGAGGAATAAGGAGGATTTGTACATATGAGGAAGTGGAGGTCTGGTGTTGTGGATGGGTGCAGTATTTGGGTTTGGTGGCTGTGTAGACGGTGAAAGGTCAGTGTGGGAAGGGTGCATTGGGACCTAGTAAACAATGTATAAAACATGTGTTTTTATTCCCAAACTGCAGTTGTTTGCATTTGCGCTCATGATACAAATAACCCAGACATGTGACTCAAGACCTTTGGTCCAAATCTAAAGCAGTAAAGTGAAGTTATTTTTTCTTCAGCAAGTCAAGTCACAATAATTATCAGCCATTATCAGGCTAATGTTAGCTAGCTACGGAAAAGATTGTATCTGGCTAACATCACCTTACATCAGCCCTCACAGACCCTTACCAATCCGAATGAGTCTTCAAATGACAAACAAAGTTTGATGCTGAAGTCTGGCTCTCAGAAATCTTTGTTGGACAGGTCTTGTATTCAGCAGTTCGCCTTTTTCCTCTTGTCACAGACCTGACAATGATGATCTGATCTGAGGTAATATCGCAGTATGCACTTAACTGACAGTGTAGTCATCCAATTATGACAATGCCATTGCCAGTGGGGTCAGCCCTATGTTCCCAGATGATTTTTTTCAAAATTAGGCCCTATGTTTCCACAGTTCCCACATTTTAATTTTTTTTCCAAATTAAGCCTATGTTACCTACATTATCTTTTTCATAATTTTTAATCAGATTTTATTCCCCTTTCTCCCCCTAACCCCTTACCCTAACCCTAACCACATAGGGCTGTGGGAACATTGGGCCTAATTTTAAGAAAAATCTTAGAAATGTGGGAACATAGGGCTGTGGGACCATAGGCACGCTCCCTTCCCAGTATGTGCTCGCATATCGGGTAACATTACACAGACACTTGTAATGTGACAATGTTAAAATTTTTATTACATGTGTAATATTTAAACTAAAAAATATTTAAAAAAAAAATACACAGAGAAGTCAAGTCAAGTTGCAAGTCATTAAAACAGGGACTTGAGTCGAGTCCAAGTCAAAATTACTTTTGTCCCCATCCCTGCAAATCCCCAAACAAATGCAGGAAGATGGGATATCAGGATTTCTTCCATTGAAACTTCTTTATCTGAAGTGTTTCTGCTTTTGTCTCCTGTGACCTAATTCTATTTCAGAACTGCTTCTTTGCTACATTATTGTATGTTATTAGCTGTTTGTTAGCTCCATGCATTCAGAGGTAACAAACTGTCAGCTCTCAAATGAACAGGAAACTCACAAAGCTAAAGATAAGATGGAAAACATTTGATGAAGGAATCTTATAGTGGCTGTTTTCACTTGAGAGGATTTTTTCTGCCATGTAGTCTTGGCAAAGACAGTGTAAAGCCAGTAGCAGTGGTCTAGTAAAGCCTCTTGAAGCTCATCATTTCAGGACGGTACATCAAGTAAAAAGATAACAAGCTCAAGCTTCTTGCACATTTTTGAAAAAACATATTCAGTTTATCACAAAAAATAATTGAGCCATGAAACTATCAAGGGACGACGGAGAAGGCCAGCACTGCAGCTGTGTGTACATTTATTCAATTGCAACACTGTTATGTAAGCCAGGAACCCTCGTTTTAGGTCAGGGTTGTGAAATAGGCACACAGAGCAAGAAAGCTACACTGAAAAAATAAAACCACTGACATGTTTATGCCCCTAACCAATTCCTCTCAACCTCACTGACACTTGACTGAGAGACTAATATAAATAAAAAGGCAGCTGATTGAAATCGATTATAGCAGAGGAAATTGGTCTCTCGCAATGGCACTTGTTTTTATGGACAAAGACATGAGGTGGCTTCAGGTGCCTGAAACAAAGTTAAAATTAATTTCATGGGCTCAGTTTAACCGTGGTAAAGTTATTTCAAACTATTTTGGCACGTAGACTGAAATTTTAAACCAGGTTAAAATTATTGCTGGTCTAATTACTGACCCACATTTTTGGAAATGCGTACACTTTATGCTTCCACTTTAGTTTGCTGAGGTTTAAACCCTATCGATCACACGCAAGATAAAGCATGACATTACATGACACCACAGTTACATCCCAGAACAATAACGCTGTGTGGCTTCACAGTTATTTACAGACATTAATAACATGGCAGCCTCAAGGTCACTTGTTATAGAAATGGAGGGACACTTTCTGCACGTTCAGTTTTCAAAGTGGAAAAGTGAGGTGTGAAAACTTTGCTCTATCACCTGGGGAAAGCTAACTCAATGTTATTAGGCCCTTGAGCAAGGCACGCAACCTTAGAACTTTCCCCAGTCAGAACCAAGCATCAGATTAATAAAATCCCCCAAAAAAAACAAAGCAAGAAAAAACCTGTTAATTTTGTTTCTGGCTTTCCGATGGGCATTGGTTCTATCTGGGGGACATGATGGCATCACATCAAAGCTGGTGCCCTGCACAATACCATTTCTCTGCAGTATTGGAAGGAAGCGCAGTCATGGAGTCGTGATACAGCAAACCTCTGGCTTCTGTATTTCCTATCTCTGTGGGCGCAAGGGCTCTCGCCTCATGTCGCCTCAATCATGCCTGCTGAGAATGAAGCGCAGATGAGTAAGCTGCTGCCGGCCCGGTCATTATCGGTCCCCATCACCCCTCCTGAAGCAACAGCCCCTTATCGCCATCTTCCCATCATGACGACGGACTGCTCCACTAGCTCATGGTAATTGTTGTAGGCTCAGTAAAAAAGAGATGTGATGATGTGGCCCCGGTGTGGAAGGCGTTGCTGGTGTTTTTATCCATCAACGTTGCACATAATGAGGTTAGCCATCAGAGGCGGGAAGAGGAGAACATGGAACTGGCACAAACGAAAAGGTGATTCAAGAACGTGGAACCTGTGATTGTTTTTTTTTATGTTGTTAGATTTGGGGTTTAAATTAAGTTTAAAGCAGCAAAATAGTATTTTTATGGCTACTTGGATGTAGAAAAAGTGCACAACAAGCAGATAGACACACTACTCTGACATTTTATTGCTTTATAAAGTAATCATTTAAATTATCATTCATTTGGAGTTGGCTTTGTCCAATTGTCTTGTTTTAGCTGTGGCTTGAGAATCACCAACTCCTGGAAAAAATGTTAGGCATTGTAGCCGCTTAATGTTTTACTCTCTTCACCAGCTAGTTGCTATCTCTGCTGTTTGGTGGTGGCTACACAGGCGGGTTTATCAGCTGCAGTATGTTAGGTCGAGGCATGTAAAAAAGTCTTCTTGGAAATAGCTGAATCCGTCCACATTGTTTTCATCTTGGAAATATGGTGGCTTCTTCTGTTGCCGGTGGGTTTTGGAAGTGGGCAGAAGAGAAGGTGATTGGCCCAGGGGTAGCACAACCAATCACAAGCCAGTTATCAGCAAAGAGCCATGCTCAGTCAGCTCACCCGCAAACTGCAGTGTTTCATATTTTGAGAGCCATATCCTTACCCGAGCTGCAATTACATTAATTCTAGAGGTTTACGGTGCAGTAGTGCAAGAGTGCGTCGTAAAAGGCTTGCAGAGGCCATTACATTTTGCCTCTCAACATAAAGAACACACTACTTCTTGCGACACACAGCAGAGGTGTCCAAACTGAATGTATAATGAAAGTCATTTAGACAAAAACTGGTCAACTGTGATTTAAAAATATGGAAGCTGCTGATGATTTCAGACTGCAGAGAGGGAAAGAACAGCAGTCATGACTCTATCACTTATATACATCCTCTGGGTTTGTGACCTTAGAGAAGAAGCAGATAAGGTGAACAAATATGACTTTTTATTCAGCTTTGCTTTAAGATAGCTGAGGATCTACTTTGTGGAGTGAGTTCTCCAGAGCAGAGAGAAGCCTTAGAAGTTACTTCATACAGAAGCTAACCGCCTCTGTTCAGCAATTCAGGCTGCGGGCAAGGATACTGACATTGATGGTCTTCCAAACTTTTACTGATACGTGTGGGACTTGTTGAGCAGTGATCTGCTGGTTCTTTCAGAGTCTGCGGATTTCACTGCCAACGACCTCAGACTGAAAGACTCAAGAAATTAAACCTGAGTCTGCGGTTGTTTTGTGAATTTTGTCCTGTGCCCTGTCTCAGGGTGTCAATAACAGACAACAATAACATACAAACATTTTTGTAATCACATATGAAATGTGTTACTGCAAGAGGGGAGTGCTGTCGGTCAGGAGAAAGCATTTCATTTTGTTGATCACACACTTCTTTCTAAAGGCGTGAGGCTGCATATATTTGCTGCTGTGCCTTCGTTGTGTGTTCTGAGGGCCAGACTGCAGGGCTGTGTGTGTATATTTATTGTGGCTGTGAATGTGTTTTTCTGTGACAGGAGACTCTATTTCTGTATGCTAATGAAGTACCTGTCACATTTATGGGAGGGGGTTTAAATTTTAGCTTGGGCACTGAAAGGACCTTGTTTATTTGGGAGTAATAGAACAAATGTGAGGATCACAGACTCTCGTAAAAACTCTTTGTAGAACCTTTCAGCTCCAGAAGAAAGTGGACTTGGCAGGATAACCATGGACCTTGACTGCATTTAGATTTTTGATGTGAATAAAATAATTTTTAGCTTAGATGTTTTGCCATGATGATTACATTCGATTGCAGATAGAATTTACTTTTTTCTCAGTGATAAATGCAAACCATACTTTGTGAAGCTCTGTAGATCATTGTACAATACTTAACGCTTTTTTGATAAAGCTTCCTGATCCATAAAAGACTCCTGCTGCTATGAAAAATATTCTGTCTGCTGCAAAATAATGTCGATTTTTAACAATTTAACTATGTAATCTATACATATTTAGTTTTGGCCTCTGTCAAGAACATTTTTGTCTTATACTAAACCTGTACTTTTTTCTCTGAGCCTTGCTTGTCCGAGTGTTCAAACTCAAAGTCAGATTTATTGATGAAAGCCAGCTGTTCATGACTAGATACATTTGATGATGATTTGGGAGATGTGATCATTAATATCATCAAAACCCCCAACTTGGCATATCAGTTTGCCTGTTCTGATCCATTTCAGGATTTCAAGTCTTATTCACAAAAACATCACCACTGGCAGTGCACACAGTGGCCTGTAGGGGATGAGGTTTAGCACTCCGTTAACTTGAATGGGGATAAATAATTTAATCTTGCAGATCTTCTAAACTTTCAAAATGTTATTGAACTGAATGGATCAAATTTTGATTTTGCATTTGTTGTGACACTTGAAAAAATGTATCCACCATTTTACAGCTGCTTCTTTCACATTGTTACCTTATGGGAGGTCATTCTGGGGCATTGTGCATCACGTGATGGACACCATTGCTGTAATTAAACAGTTTGGCCACTGTGTTAAATTGGCTTCAAAGCCTAGCGCTCTTCCTGGAGGCTTGGTGTGAGAGTACCCATGAACTACAAATGTATCCAAATGTATTCAGTTTAAGGCATTATGATTCTTTTCACACTTCGGAGAAAGGCAGACTATTTGTACATGACTTGTACATGGCTGAACCACCTGTGAATATTGTTTATGCCTCTTAAATCACTTGTACCTGCAGCTAATTAACCAATCTGTTTGCACGAGTGGTTCTGGCAAATGGCCCATGTATTGTATTTTTTATTGGGTTCTTACTGCAAATTTAAAATAATGAATGAATGAATGAATAACGTCTCTATCTTTCTATCTCTCTCTCTCAGAGGGGTGGTTCAGCTCACAACTGCGGCCAGCTGAAGGTGGGTCAGGTGATCCTGGAGGTAAATGGGGTTTCCCTGAGGGGCCGCGAGCACAGGGACGCCGCACGCCTCATCGCTGAGGCCTTCAAGACCAAAGAGAGGGACTACGTGGACTTCCTGGTGACCGAGTTCAACGTGGCGCTATAGCTGTGCGGAGGAGGAGAGAGGACGATGATAAAGGCATGAGAAGAAGAGTCCGAGGACAACATGAGAGGAAGAAATTTAAGCGTCTATGGCACAACTCTTTTAAATAGACTCAAACAAACACCCAACTGATCTCTGAGCCCTTTCTCATAAACCCACCCTTGAGCCTGGACACATGACACTCAAATTTACAAGGTATTACTTCAGCTGTGGACTTTGTTCAGGATTCTCCTCAACGTGTTACCTCCCCACTGTGAGACCTTATGCACTAAAACGGAAAGTAGTGAAACCTATACATTTTGTTTGTTCTCTGAGTGTTAAAACTTGTGGATTTACAACCACTTGCAACCCCAACTGGAACTTCTCGTAGCACTCCCACGTCCAATGGTCAGTTCACTTCACATTCATTTTTTGCTTCTATCTGAGAGACAGCTGCACATCTAAGGCTGATTAATGCTCGACTTTACAAGCTTGGATTTGTATATGTAAAAATGAACAAATGTAGATACAGATGCATATATACTGTACACATAAAGATACTCCTATATGAATTATAAAACCCGTAACCTCTGTTGCATCATCAACATATAGTAATATATTTCAAAGATGATGATAATTCAGGCCATCCTGGCAGTTCTATAGATTTTACAGTGATGCTACCGGCCTGTCTGCATATTACCAACCTTTTACCAAAAGGAAATGGATAAAATTATGTCAGGCTAACAAAAATACACATTACATTGTCATATTTGTTTGATAGACATAAAAAAGACTGTACATGTGAATGATAATTTTCATATGGATACCACACAAATGCGCATAATTTCCTGTTTCCTTTCCTGTGTATCTGTGTGTATGAGACTGTCCACACTCAGTGAGGTAAATTAGAAAAGCTGTTTACATATAAAAACAACATGTATCCCCAATACAAACAATAAGAAGCAGCTAAATCACTTTTTTTCTCATCCATTGGCAAACATCTCTGCATTGCTGCCAAAATCTGGTAAGGAGCGGGACAGAGAGTCTGGTTATTTTGCTGAGTCTCAGCTGGTAAAAACACAGCTCTGTCCCCTACTGCTAATTGTGACCTATACTGTTTTAATACAGCCAAACCCACAATTTAGTTGTTCTCATTGACTTATTTTTCGGTTTCTGTTTTCAGACAGGTATAAATTGTGATTTGATCACAGGTCGTACATGTTACCTGTTAACCAGCAAACATTTCCTGTGCTGCTGCTCTCAGATCTCAATAACATCCCTAACAGTTCCTTGAGCTCCTCCTTGAGCTCCTCCTTGAGCTCCTCCTTGAGCAGCTGTTGTCAGAAATACAACAGAATAGCAACTGTTATGTCAGTTTACAGTGCAGCCAAACAAGTTGTTTTAATGAAGACTTAAGTCAACAATTGGCCTTTTTCCCATCATGCCCTGAGCCACCATAATCTAATTTCATGCTGCACACATTGCGAGCACACGACAGGACACAGTAATAGGAGTTGGTTACCTTGCTGCAGAGTCTGAGGTGTTCCTTCTGTTGCCTTCAGCTCTTCATCTAGCAGCTCACTGAGGCTGCCCCTTCTTGTTCCATTATTTCATCCAATATTTAAAATTGATCCACTGTCAAAAATGCCGAAAATGAGCTAGTTTTCTTTTTTTCATCATCAGCGTTAATCTTGTTGATAAATGCATCACATTTACTGTGACTGCTTCGCAATTAAAGCCACCCCATGTTTCGCCATGCTTTTAATGTGAAGCAGCAGCAGTAGGAAGTATTCAGTTTGCATTAGCAGTACCTTAATGAACCTCTGATAAGACTGAAGGGGATTAAACTATAAACAGCGAGGCTGATATCAGTGAAATAAAATTAAAAACATTACAGCTGGATTACATCTTGCAATTGTCCAGTGTGGGAGAGGCAGACCCTGCCACGAATGAAAACTGTTCTTATAGGGAGGTATTTACAGAAAAAAAATGCAATGAATGGCTATTGCTTAAAAAAATCCAGCCATCAAATGTGTCAAAAATGGAGGAAAGGATTATAACTTTAACAACAATTACAACAAACTAAAACACAAGGACAACAAGAATTTTGAAGAGCTCTGTGTAAAAAACGATAAAGATACGTTTTCAGATTTGGCCAGTTTAGTGTGGAGGTGCTGTCAGGGGGAATAAAATCCCTCAGTTTTTCCCTCAGATCACTCAGCTTTTCTCCTGCTACTCCCCCCGCTGAATAACAATTTATGATTTTATTTTGTAATTTCATAGTTTTAATTATATTCACCCTGGGGTTCTTGCTGAAGCCATGCTCAGTGCAGCAATTACACCCAAGAGGGGAGTAATGAGACATTTAGAGGACGACACTGCCAGAGATTTTAGAAACACTCCTCCACACATGCTCACATGTGGAACATATGCACACACACACACATTTTATCCATTTATAGAAAAGCAATTAGGAGATAAGCAATCAGGTAGAGTGAGAGATGGAGCGAGAAAGAGAGGACGAATAAGAATGAGAGAGTGACTAAAGTAACAAATGAGATGTGATTGTTGTTGTGGAGATGATTTGCTTCCTCTCAGGAAGAGTGCAAGCATGGAGAGGATGTACAGCAAACATCCTCCATGTGTCACTCCAGAGACTCACATTAGGCTGCAGGTAGAAATATGAAGTAATTGAAGTAATTAATCTAAGTGTTATGCGTGTGGATGTGTGTTATGTATGTGTTTAATGTGAGTGGTGTGTGCCTGTCTGCGGTTAATGGATGAAAAGAGAAAAAGCTAAAAACAAGGAGACAGCAAATAAAGACAAATGTAAATGTCATCAAGGGAGCTGCTGTTATGAGACACACAAGAAAGTGAACTGGTAGTCTGGTAGTAACAGAGCAGCTCTGTGAGAAATTGCTATCAAACACTCTTGAGTCATTCTGGTGACAACTGAGAGAAGAGAACAACACATTCATGCTTTGTTTTTACATCATATCCCTGCTGTCTGTCTTCAAAATGTCAGCCTTTAATGGATAAAAAACAAATGTTAGGGATGCACTGGTAGGGTTTTTTTAAAGGTCATACCCATATCCACTATGTTTGCACCCGTAATGATCCCAACATATAATGTTTGAAGAGATATATCATTCCTGAACAGGCAAAAACCTGATGAAACTTTTCAGTCTATTTATCTGTCAAATGTTTTGTTCTTGATTAAGAAAACTTGTACTGCCTGGTCAAATGTTAATTTGATAAACGAAAAAAAAACTCAGTTAGCCTCACGTATACTCTATGTACAATCTTAGCAAAATCTTAAATTCTTCTTACACTTGTCTCAACTTTATATAATACCTAAGGGAGGACTAGACAGAGTGTCTGTAACTAATAGCCAAGACCAGCTCTCATCCATGCTTGTTATGCCTCTCTAAGGTCTTCAGCTCATCGACCAGACAGCCTGAGCCTCCTCACACAAAGTATGCCAAGTGTGAAGCTCCCTGAGGCCCCTCAGGTTCCCTAACCATGACAACGCATGGCATGCTTTCATATCCAAAGGATTTTTCAACCACAGTTTTTTTCAAGTGAGAAAGAAGTGAGGAAAACAGAACAACTACCAACATTTTTAAGCTGCTTAAATTGATTTTGGCCACTAGAAAGCAGAAAAACTCCACAAGAAGCTGACATGTACACAACTCACATATTCTGTACTGATTAAGTTTATTCTTTGATACATTCTAAGTGGTGTTTCTGTCAACCTGATGAATGTCAGTCCAATATTCACCCTCATCTGATTTGGTCTCCACCAGCCTATGAGCAAATATCTTTCACTTTTTTTACCAGCTACTTGCAAATGTTGTCCATCTGTTGTTTGGGGCTGGGAAGGTAGCCTACAGTGGTTTTGTCAGAGCTTGTTTACTGTGAACAGCTGCCTGACTGTGTGTACAGACAGAATGCAAAGCAAATTTTAGAGGCTGCGTAATTTCATACAAAGTCAAAGGAAAAATGTGATTACACATAAAATCATCAAAGTGGCACGAATTGTAAAGAGGAGATACTGGAAGGGAATAACAGAAAGAGTTCAGTCAGAGGCGGAGCTGAGCACAAACACAGGCACACTCCCACAGACACGGTTAGCTCATCCATTGCTTGCTAGTTTACAGCTACCGTACAGTGGCTACATTGGCTGTTAAAGTGCAAATAAATACAAACGGTCAAGCTGTCAATTCTGTCAGTATGAAAATTGCTTAGCTTTCTGTCTTTTCTAATTATATAAAGTCAACTTAAAGACAATGAGTCAATGGAACAAACTGGAATTATATGATCAATACTTGAAATACTGAACAAATTTAAGTGCACTCAAACCACAAAAACAAAAAGTTATGTTAACTGACTTTTATTAATATATGCTGTAAGGTTTTACAGTGCAAGCTAGAAATATCAAAAACCCTTTTCTGTGAACTTTTCCAGCTGACATCATCCACTTTTTACAGTCGATTTCATATGCATGCAGGGGACATATTTTATCTATATTAAAGGACCACATGAAAAAAAAACATATTTTAACTTGGCTGCCTTCAAAACCAGACAGCGTTTCATGAATGTTTAAATCTCCCTCTGCCTCACAGAACAAGGAGTTAAAAGACAGTAAACGTAAAAGCAGTGACATGATACGACTGAAGAAGTTAATCAAGATGAGATAAATCCACTGTGTGATTGGTGTTCTGTAGATTTTTAAAGGACAGCCTGCACCTGTAAATCATAATAACATTTCAACAGTTAAGGCTTTTATAGTAAGTCTAGTCCTGTTACAGGATTTATAAAGCATTTTTGTAGGTGATATTAAGTCAACAGGCTTGATGAAACGCTACTGTATTAAACTTGAGCATCAGTTTTTATCTGAGGGAAAGTGGAGAAGCTGTACGTTAAATGTACAAATCATTTCATTTCTCTTTCTATGATTACTAAGGCTTTTGAGTGCATAAATTAATTTGCTTTAATTATGCATATTCAGGACTTGGTACAAATAATATTGGAAAAATAATGTACTCACTGAAACAACTAACAGACTTAAAATTCAGGATGCATCAGCGTGTGTATGTGTGTGTGTGTGTGTGTGTGTGTGTGTATGCGTGTGAGACAGAAGGCGCTAGATAAGAAAACAGAGAGAGATAGAGAGACAGTCAGACAGATGAGAGCTGGAGTGCGTCCTCTCAGTGGATTTACTCTCCGTCAAGCAATCTAATCTGAAAGGAATCACAGCCACACAGATAAAGGATTTTGTTTTCTGAGTTGAGCATTTAAGCGTCACAGATGACACCTTCCTTCAAAGAGGAGACGAGGAAAGAGGAAAGGAAAGATAGTTTGAAATTCAAAATGTTATCCTACAGATACACGAGGTTTCTAATCCCAAAATAATACTCACTACCTTACTAGGAATATAAAGATGTTTTTCTGCATAAGCCTTTTTTTGTTTAAGAGATACAGCAAGTATATTGTTCTAATTGTCTAACATTCCCATGAAAAGACTCAAACCAACAATTCTCTCAATAATTTGTGACTCAGTCATTTCCTAAAACAGCTGGGCACTGAAGTTTTTATCAAATTTTACAATGTTCAAATTGATTGATAGGCATGTGGTGCTCTAGTGAGTATTAACAGCAGCAGGACTGTGTATGTGGGACTGAATAAAATTTAACTAGGTTGTGTGTGTTCATGTGTGGCTCACCGATGTGTTTTCAGTAGTTTTTGGACAACAATGAAGCTCCATGACACAGAGGAATAAGTTATATCAGGCTTTCAGTACACACACAATACTTTTAAGTAGGATTAAATTATTGTTGGTTTTTGTCTTTCCATTGGATTTGTTGACGATAAAGAAAATATATAAAAATCTTATCCTTTAACAAATGAAACTAAACATCCCAAATGTTAAATGTTTGACATTTGGCTGAATAAAGTCTGAATTAGTCTCATCAAATAACTTCTCTTTACTAGGGACATATTTTGGACAGTACCAGCAAAGTATTAATGTTCTATACTGATCCCTTACCAATCCTAAAACAAAGCAGCTTTCCAGTGTATAAAAGAGACTTGGGAGATACATGGTTTTTACAGAACAAGGACAAGTTACAGTTGCAATCTTCATACTTATTTGATCATTTTATTGAAGTCCCTTTAACTGAGATTAACATTTTCCAGGGTCCTGAGAGTCACTAGTTCAATCTCTGCAACAGCTACATGTGTCCATAAATGCCAATGTTCCCTTGAGCAACACACTGAGCCCCTCCCTGCTGCCGGCTGTACCCTG